GTGATCGGATTTTTTGTCCGACCAAGTTAATCGTAATTATCCGTTTGTTATTTTTTAGAAGGATAACTCAATATTTTTCAACGGAAAAACTTGGAAATTTTTCTGAGTGTACATAATTTCTGCAATTAGTATATGACATATATTTGCAAAAAATATATGCACACACTTTTAAAAACATTATACATATAAAAACATAATAAATAATTTATAGAAAAACTAAAGTTTGTAAATAGTAAAAATTTCTAAAGCCTTTGAATCTATCCTGTATACATACGTATACAGGATAGATTCAAAGGCTTTAGAAATTTTTACTATTTATTATGTTTTTAAAAGTGTGTGCATATATTTTATCATATTAAAGATGTAGGTATCAATTATTTTGCATATACATGCAAAATAATTGATATCTACATCTTTAATAAGTGACGTTATTATACTCGGTTATATAAAACTCAACCAGTACCAATTATTCTCATTACTCACAAATCAGGAGGTGTAGTATGTTTCCTACTGTACTCATACGTACGACTTTGTATTATACTAAGCATAAAACATGTTGTTTTACGTACGTGGTATATTCGGCATTGCAATATTTGGATTACTCTCGGCTGGAGAATCTCAGCTTCGTAAGTATTTCTTAAAAATTCTTTGAAAATATTCTTTTAAAGATATTATTATGCTAAATTAAATGTCAATGAATTGTTTTGTATATAAAAAATTTATTATGTTAAATTAATAAAGAGTTGACAGTAAAATAATTTTGCAAATAAGAAATAACATAATTTTAAACAAAAATCATATCTTTTATGATAATAAATTTTTAACAATAAAGTGAATAGACTGCTTAATACAGAGTATTACGATTATCGTGATCATTTTTGCTAAAATACTTTAAAACCTACCGTTTTGATTGTGAAATGTTGCCAAATGGGAAACAAATGCCAGCAAACAATAATGCCAGGGTCTAACGTATCTCCTCAGTTGGTTTTCAATGTAAACCAAATCTGAAGAACATATTGCGCAGTTAAATTGACGACAATTCTAAAGCTGATTTGACAATAGCAATGCGACGACAGATTGACACAACAAGTTAAGGACAGATTTGTTTACTGCGAAGCATATTATTGCATTTTTGCAAGATGTTTGCTGACACTGTTTGCAATAACAAAACTGCTATTTGTCACCAATATGTTCGATATTTGCTTACTGTTAACTACCACTCTCTTATATATTTTGCCGACAAAGATTATTGCATTATTGACAGAATTCTGTACTTAACAGAATTGATAAAATAACGTGAAAATATGTATATTTTCCATTTGCGGCTTTTCGACAAACATAATTTGACGTTACTAACATTTGCAATTGTAGAAAATGTTATAGGAGTGATAATTGTATTTTTATATTCGTTAATTGCTCTATAAAGAATCATCTTTCTATTAAATGTTCATTTTCGTGATTTGCTAAACGAATAACACTAGCATCTATATTTTCGAGTGATGCTTATATCTCTGTCACAATTGTCATCATAGAACGCAATATCATTTTCCATTAAAAAACAAAACATTTGCGGAAGAATCTTCTTTTCACTTACGAAACATCTAATAATATACATGCTCTTTATAAAAATGTAATTACATTCTAAATTATATTTTAAATTACGTGTTTATTAAATAATTTGTACATTTTTATATTTTTTTATTTGATTATATTTCTACTTTTACTCGCAGCTGTAACTACCTGCAAGAGGGATTTAGTTGATTATGATGCCTGTTTAAAAGATGCATTAGAAGAAGCATGGCCAAGATTTGTGAAAGGTATCTATTTCAAAAATTTATAAATTTTCAGTTTTTTAAATGAAATATATGCACTATATATACTTACAGCAATGTTAGGAATATGTATACGACTAAGCAATATTAATAATAAACAAAAATAAATTCATAAATCTAAATTCACAATGTATTTAAATTTTTTTAAACTTAATAAATAGATTAATTAGATAAAATTGTTTTAAAATATAAATATTAATTAGCTTATTCATGTTGATAGGACTTCCAGAATTTGATTTTCCACCTTTGGATCCATTATTTTATAAAAACGGCAAAGTTGTATTTAATTCTGGTGAGATGCATGCAGTAGCAATTTTTTCAAATCTCAGTATTATCGGTTTATCGAAAGCCCGATTTTCTAATGTAAGAGCAAACTTTCTTGATGATGTTTTCCATTTTGAAATGGACACTATGGTACCGATCGTATTCACAGAAGGTATTATAAAAATTAATGGATCCATAAATATATTCAGAATTGCTGATGAAGGTAAAATAATTAATTAATTTCATATTTATTTTACGAATTCTATTTATTTTATTGGATATATTAACCAATTTACTATAACGCTATAAGATTAATCAAATATGTTACATTCTTTTTATAAAGAATTAGCTTTATAAAGAAAATCTATTTTGTTACAATTTTATTATTAAAATAATTTTCAAAAACAATTAAACCTATTATAATAATCTATTAATTCAAACTCTGTGTGTGTGTGTGCACGCGCGCATGCACATGTATTGCATACATATCAGTAAATCTATGTCTAATAAAATTAATAATAATTTTAGTAATTTTGTAATTTGAGAATTCTGAAAGTGATAATTACAAATTTTTAAGTATTATTGTATTTAGAAAATATGATATTTATATTATTGTAATTTATGTAACAGGTCACTTAAATGTAACTCTTGGTGATCTCAAAATATCGTGTAATTTAACAGGACATGTAGTAAACGATACATGGATTGTGGAACATTTTCGGATCAATCCATCACTATCAAAATTTAAATTTGATTTCAATAGTTTTAACGAAGAGAACAAAGAACTTAGTGAGTATCTATCTAATTCAGATATAATTTTATTTTTTGCGATTTCTTCCAGCATGAATTGAATAAAGCATGAACTTCAATAAAGACTTATATTTAATTTATATTTTTTAGATTTCCTGCTTAAATGTAAATCCCGTCATTTTAATAAAGTTTGTCTAGAGTAATTATTTAAATGCTAATAATTCATAAATTGTACAGATTTATATATTAAAAATAATATTATAAAATACTAGGGTATGTTAAATTGAAATATCAGCATAATTGGAAAATTGGATCATTGATTAAAAAAAAAAAGAATAAAAAAAGAATTAAAAGTTTGTTTTACAAGTTGAAATCATGTTCAATTTTCATTTATATTAAAATTTTTCTATCAAGATTTTTTAATGTTTTGCCTATTTTTGACAAATATAAAGTCACAAGATAAAATATTTATTTACGTAACACATTACAATTACATTTATATGTATAATGACCTTACATTAATTTGTTTTCCACTAAAATATATTAATTGACAATTAACAAATTTTTATTATTTGTATTTTCAGATAAAATTGTCATAAATTTTGCAAATGAATTCTGGCCGGTTCTGGCTCGAGTAATGTTGCCAAGCATATCCATTTTAATGGACCCATGGTTCACTGACTATGCAAATTTGTTTTTCTCAAAAGTTCCTTTTTCAAAAGTATTTCCAAACTAATATATATTTATTATATTTCAACAAAGTGCTAAATTCCTCGTAAAATTACTTACATACAAAATTACTTACATACTAAAAATACATACATTTTTGCAATAAACATGTGGAATATGTTTTTGACTGTTTAACTTAAATTTCGTTTTTTAACTATTGTAAAAATATAAATAAATATCTTACGTATTATTTTCAGTGTAAATTATTTTTACCACGTTTTTGTATTTCTAAATATCTATTAAAGAGTCAATATGAATGATAAGTTATTACATCTCCAAAAAACGTTTTTAAAGAATTAGAAAAAAAATACCTATGTTTGAAAAATTTTCATATGTCTTCTGTCTCTAAAATCTCATATATGTATTATCAAAAAATTATATACATATAACAAGCACAATAAAGTAAATAATCCTTTTTATATGTTACACTTGTTTATGAAATAAAAGAACGATATAATAGTTAGGTATTGACTTATACTTTTATTTCCTCTATGCATTCATCGTAATTGATTTAAATATCATAAGAAGAAATCTATCATTTATAGCTAGCTAAAAGTTTTTATTATTAATTGTGATCTCAATCTTTTGTCAAAAATAAGAATATAGATAAAAAATATTATTCTTAACTATACGAAGTCATTTTTTTTTTATATAATTAAAAATTTAAACTGAATACTGACAAGAAAATATATTTAAGCTTATCTAAATTTAATTAAATTGATATAATATGTTGCTTCTCTGCTTTTGAAATTTCCGATTTCCTTTCATAAAAAACATGAATATTATTTGTATAAAATTATATAAAATATTATATATAGTTTCTTTATTCTGTTATTCTCCTTGTTATATTAATAGCTTGGTACATAAATTATTTCAAAATTTCTCATCGTAGAATATGTGTTTTATAAGATGGATTTGCACGCATAAATTATTGAAAATTTGTTTTCTCTTCACATTCTGAATATTGCAGAAATATCAATGTGCAGTGATCCTCATTGGCAGAACCGCGTGCAAACGTATTAAATTAACTCTTCGTGCTTTTGACATGATTCTCTATGTAAGTAGCAATTAATATTTGGTTGATCCTGCTTCCAAGCGTGCACATGTACTCGTCTTCTTGTTTAAATAAAGACATATATTGAATTGCAACAAGTGTGATTGTGCCTCGTAAAAGTACTATCCTGCTATCGTATTATTTCCTACACATACATACAATACTCGCTCATGCAACATATGCATACATGTACAGTGTATTAAACACACTTCATAAAATTCTTTATGTTAATATTATTTTGTAAACAAGAGTTTTCAATTTTTTCCTTGTACTCGTAGCGTATTTATTAAAAACTATATACTAAATAATGTATCTTTATTTAATATATAACATTATTTGCAAGTAATATATACACACACTTTTAAAATCGTTATAAGAGCATAATATATCATTTATGAAAAAAGTAATAATTATGTAAATAATAAAAATTTCTGAAATTTACCTTTGAACCTCTCATATGGAAAACATGATGTAGTCACGTTACACGTGACTACATTATTCAATATTAATATAAGATCAGGATACACGGTCGTACTGGTGTCTCGGCGCTAATGATAGTATTAACTCCGTTGTATAAAACCAGGATGCATTCGCATTATTTGTGCAGATCAAGAAACACGGTGTATTTCCTATCTAGTGTACGCAAGACCCTTGTTATAAACACAAAACATGTTCTACATACGTGGTATATTCGGCATTGCAATATTTGCATTACTCTCAGCTGGAGAATCTGAGATTCGTAAGTATTTTTTGAGAATTCTTTGAAACATTCTTTTAAAGATATGTCAAATCTCAATATACTGAATTGTGTTATATTCATTAAAAGTTTACTGGATAAAATTAATATAGTGTTGACTTAAAAATAAATTACAAACAAGAAATCATAACTTCAAAACATAAAATAATGTAACTTTAAACAAAAAAACACATAATACATTTTTAAGATAATGAATATACAACCAGTAAATAGATAGTCTAATATGGAATAATACAATTGTAATTATTTTCGTTAAAATATCTTAATAAAAGTTATATAATAATTATTCTTCTGTATTCGTTAATCTGTATTAATTGTTCTAAAAGCAACTTTTGCTTTTCTACAAAGTGCACTAAAGCAATACCCTTATTATATTTTCGATATTTTTATTCGATATTTTCATCATTTTAGTTTTGTCATTCATGTCAACATAATATAATTTCCAATAAAAAAAACGAAATCTAAGGAAAAATCTTTTTTTTGTTTATGGTATATAAATAATATATATGCGTTTCACAAAAATGTAACGACATTCTATGAATTGCATTTTAAATTATATGTGTTCATAAAATAATTTATGCCTTCTTATATTTTTTATTACTACTTTATTTTGTTCTATTTTCACTTCTCCTCAGCTGTAACCATCTGCAAAAGAGATTCAAATGATTATAATGCTTGTTCAAAACATGCTTTAGAAGAGGCATGGCCACTATTTGTGAAAGGTATCTATTTCAAAAATTTATATATCTTTTAAATAAAACATATGTACTACTTACAATTATATTCCAATATTAAGAATATTTGTATGATTAATCAATATTAAATAAAAATGAATTTATAAATTTAAATCCACAAACTGTTTAAATTTTATTTAAACTAAATAAAAACGATTAATTTTATAAAATTTTCTTATAATTTAATAAATGCTAATTAGTTTTTTCATATCAATAGGTCTTCCAGAATTTAATTTTCCATCTGCAGATCCATTATTTTTCAAAGACACTAATGTTGTACTTAATTCTGGTGAGATAAGTATCGAAGTAATTTTTTCAAATCTCAGTGTTATCGGTATCTCGGATACCCAATTTTTTGATGTAAGAACGCATTTTCTTAATAAAGTTTTCCATTATGAAATGGATGTATTAGTACCAAGCCTGTTTGTAGAGGGTATCGCAAAAGTAAATGGTAGCATAAATATATTCAGAGTTGCTGATGAAGGTACATTAATTAATTCTGTATTTATTTTGCGAATTATATTTATTTTATTACATACATATATTTTTATTTACAAATGTAACATTAATCACATATATTACATTCTTTCTACAAAGAATTTGCAAAATTTATCTAGTTACAATTTTATTATAACTATTAAAATAATTAAAAAAAACAGTTGAAATAATTATACACACATGCGTGCGTGGATTACATACACATCTGTAAATCTTTGTCTAATAAAAATAATAATTATTTTTGTGGTTTTGTAATTTGACACTTTTAAAAGAAATAATAATAAATTCTTAAGTCATTACTACTTTATTTTTAAAAATATCATATTTTTGTTATTAATGTAATTTATATAACAGGTCACTTAAATGCAACTTTAAATGATATCAGAACAACATGTAATTTAACAGGACATGTAGTAAATGATACATGGATTGTAGAACATTTCCGGATCAATCCGTCACTTGGAAATCTCAAAATTCACGTCACGACTACTATCGAAGAGAACAAACAGTTAAGTAAGTATTTAACTAATTTAAATATTATAATTCTACTTTTTGCTATTTTTCAGTATAGATTAAATTATCTAAATAATAATATATAAAAACTCATATCTAATTTATTGTCTAGATGTTAATTATTTTAGTAAAAGTTTGTCTAGAATAATCATTTAAACACTATCCACAATTTGATGATTACAATTAAATATAATATTATAAAGTGGTGTACGTTAGAATAAAATATCGGCATAATTGAAAAATTAAACCATTGACTTAAAAAAAAGAGTTAAAAGTTTATTACTTTAAGGGGAAATCATGTTTTATTATCATTTATTTTAAATTTTTTCTTAAGATTTTTTAAATATTTTGCCTACTTTTGCAAATATAATATCATAAAACAAAAATATTTATTTATGCAACACGTTATAATTGCATTTATATTAGAATCTTACTTTAATTTGATTTTTACTAAAATATATTAAAACGTTATATATCAATTTTTTTCAGATAATATTGTTTTAAATTTTATAAATGAATTCTGGCCATCAATATTTCGAGTGATTTTGCCATTCCTGTCCAATAAATTGGATCCATGGGCGACTGACTATGTCAATTTATTTTTCTCAAAAGTTCCTTTCTCAAAAATATTTCCATAAAACTTATTTATCTATTATACGTCAAGTACAAAATTCCTCATAAAATTAAAAATACTTACATTTTTGCAATAAATATATTAACACTGATTTTTTAATATTATAAATAAAAAATTACAACATGTAAACATATAATATAATAAAGTGAATGATCACATCCTCTTTGTACATTACATTTATTTGAGAAATAAAAAGTTTAAGTATAAGCATTTAAAAAATATCATTTTGTAGCGTAAAATTTTTTTTATTAAATTTTTCAATTTTTTGTCAAAAATGAAATAAAAATATTGTTATAAACTAAAGACATTACTTTTTATATTAATTGAAAATTTAAAATAATTTAAATACTAATAGAAAAATTATATCTAAATTTGCTTACTATTTTTAATTTGATTACTTTTATATGTTGCTTCTCGATTTCTGAGATTTACGGCTTTGTTTTATAATAATTTGAAAACAATTAACTATAGAAAATTATATAAGTATTTGTTTTTTTTTGTATTAACATAACGGCATAAATTAATTAATAAAATTTCGTTGTATATGTATATAGACCCAAAAGCAAATTAATTATTTAAAAAAATCTCTTGTTTACTTTGACATACTGCCAATACATGAAGCATATGAAATATATTTATATTATTTAGAAGTACAGTTTTAAATTTCACTTCTTAAGACTTTCCATGCGAATATCATTCTGCAATCTGTATTTTCAATGTCTTTAGTTCTTGACATATTTATTAAAATTTATTCTCTAAGTCATTCATACTTGAATATATAATATACATGAGCAAACAATGTATGTACTTTCAGTTTGAAAGACTATAACAGCATAAGTTAACCTTCGATCAGAAAAGGATATAGCAAAGAATTTAACTAATTAACACTTATTTTTCCTTGTCTTATGCTTACGCACATCAGTATCATTAGATTTTTTATTGTGTTTTTTCTTTAGAAGTCGTGAGAGCTGAAATTATATAAGACTCATTGTTTCTAACACAATCGAAGTAGTTGCTAGAATGCTGAAACGATCAGCATGTTATTCTACACGCACAATGTATTTTATCTTGCACTATTTGGATTATTTTCAGCCGGATTAGAAACTAATATTTGTAAGTCTTCTTTAATAAATCTTTGTTATTTACTTTTTAACTGTTTTAAAAGTGTCAACATCGCGCTCAATGTCAAGACTTCAAGTGACCGGCATGAAGATGGAATCCAAACGCATCGTTGCATTTATTGAATCTATACGAGCATTGCAATCGCGCTGCAGTTAAATAGTTAATGTTATATCAAATATCAACGCATCCATAGTTTCATTTGTATAAAGTTATCAGATCAAAAAAATAAGGCATGCATATGCGAAAAGAATAAAATACAAAAAGTCTGAGGGAGAAATAGAAAGGCATGCGTAATTTGTTGCGAACAGAAGTCAAGAAGGGAAAGTTGAAATACGCGCCAAGAGTGCAAGAAGTTGTCAAACTTTCGCATCAGAGAATTCTTTCCATGCCTCCTGGAATATCCGTAATAAAGTTATAAACTTTTAGGAAGGCCACGCCACACCTTCGTTGTATAACTGCTTACTCTGAGTTTTTCGTAGTGCACAATGATCGAACTAAATTTCGCTTTTTTCGAGCATCGATAACTAAATCTAAGATCCGATGGGCAAGTTTCTGCAGCTTTTTTACGAACTGATGACTGGCCAATTTAATCACTAAATACATTTGTCGATACTGTTAAAGATAACTTACTTGTAATGTTGTAAGAATGAAAAGGAATAAATTAGCATTATACGATTTATTTGTAGTATGTAATAATTTTATATCTCTTATTTACCTGAATCCAATAAAATTCATATTTTTAATCAAGTAATTGAATAGTTGAAATTTTATTAGCAAATTTTCGAGAAGAGCAAAACTTTTTAAAATATTTTGTTAAAAATACGAAATTATCCTGTATTATACATTATTAAAGTTTTAATTAATTTGATAATTGTATTTTAAGATTTTATATTACATGCAAAGCAGCTGTGATATAAATGGAAATGTATTCAATAGAAAAATTCTATTATTACAATATGAATATCTGCAATATGAACAGAATTTCCTATTTATAAATAATGACTGTTATATTAAAATGTTGCGCATTGATCATTTTGTCGTAAATACCGAGATTAACTAAATTTCAATTAATAAAGACGTTTATGTACAGCTCCTGAGATAGACATCCGATTCACGTGCGAATACTAATCATCCTTTTAAATGCATAATTTAGATTGTAATTATTCAATTTTGTAGCATAGTCAAAGTGATTCGATTAAGCTTTTAAAGCATACTTCGCGATTTTATCATTCGTACTTTATTAAATTATCACATCTGCTTGGTTATATATGCTTATACAGCTTGTACATGATTACATCTTTGATTCATATGTTAAAATTATACAACAGCAATATTATATTATTTAAAGCAAGTTATAGATAATATTTGTTTTAAATTAAAACGTACATTAATTAAAATTTTTAATATTTCCGTCGTTTCTAATACTTAAAACGAAATAACTACAATTAAATCTGATATGAATACAATACATATTTGAGAAAAAACTTGATGTAAATAAGCATATGCACAAATACAAAGTTGTCAAGTCTTTTTAGAATCCACTTACGCATGCACACGCATGTTCGTCAAAAGTTATAAATTTTTGATTGGAAGTTTGCGCGTTACCATAAATTTTTACGTGCAATCTCGCGACTTCGAACTTTATAGATTTGAAATGTAACTTTAGTAGAAATCATATAATAACGCCTCCGGTTCATGTACAGAAACCGATATACACACACGAAGTTACAAATTTCTGTGCAAATGGCAGAAATCCGACGGACATCAATTTTCACGAGCGTCTGAGAGACTTCAAATTTTAAGGCTCTTAAAGGGACTTGCTGTCAGCAAAAACTCGTGCAATTCGATTCGTTGGTACAAAAGTGTACAGCTCCGCTAAATTATGAATCTCGATACAGATACCACCTCCTCGTCGTTAAGATCCATTATCGTCGTGTATCACGTCATTTTTAAACTTTTATAGTGCAAAATTAATTCGATAAAATCACAGATCTAACTACTGTATAAGTTTAAACCTTGTAAAGAGGAATATAAATAAAATATGTTATATATTTTTTTTTATTCCTTTAAATGACAAAATAAATTATTTATTTTTAAAAAAATATAATAAAAATTCTAAAAATTAAATGCTTGTGCAAATGTCGTACAGATATCTTCATCAAATTCAACGGCACGACGACTCTGGTTCGCATTACATCACTTTCGACAAGCGGAGCTCAGATTGACAAAACCGATATTCCGCCGTGATGGAAACCGTCAAGTTCCGCCACGCAACTGAATAAATCACAAATACACTACCTGCGGAGACGACCGCGTTAATGCCCGCTACGCGTGACGAGGTGCAATTAATCCGCGATAAGTGCAATTAATTTAGAGTGATTTTCTCCGCACGGTAACCGCACCGAATTAAATCTCGCGCGATTCATCACGCTGGCAGGGAAAAAAAAAGTAAAAGGATAAAAATATGAAGAGCTCGAAGGAAAGGCGGGCGAAAAGACCTCCGTACTTCCCTTCATCGGGCGAGGCAAACCAGAATGCAGAGGTGCGCACGTGGACGGAAACATCGATCGTGTGTCGGCCGGCGAAGTCGGTAGACGCGTGAATCTCAATTTGCCGGCTGGTCCCCGTGGACACGTGCCTCCACGTGTATTCGCCGAACATTTACATAAGGTACGCGGTAACACGCCGATGCGCTCCCTCCTGTGACGAGAGAGACGCAGTATCCTATCCACTTTTCGAGAGATTAACTCCATAGCTCGCGAAACGAGGAGCGATTTATGCCTAGATTTATGTCTCGATTTTCAACTAGCGGCGTAGAACTTTAGCAATAATAAATTCCAATTCCAAACATATGACCAAAATATTTATTGTACCATTATCTTATAAAGTTTGAAATAAGGAGAAAATATGCAACTTTTTCTTGCTTATATCATACGTCCCTTTTTTAATTTTTTTATTTTTTTATTTTTTTAGTCTCTAAATGACAGCAATTCTAATTTTTTTAGAATAACTTAAATGACCGAATTCTTTCGGCGAAGTATCGTCTTTAATAGTTAACGTATACCCTTCTCTTTCCCTTTTTGTTTACGCAAAATAGTAGTAGTTAAAAGAATTATGGGGAGAGATGCCGACAGTGCAGCAACATTCGGTTGGGCGGGGTAACGTCACGGAAGCTTCGTCGGCACGGCATGGCTAATTAATCAAGCTTTTATGGTCGTCGTTCTGCTGAGCCTTCGACCGCCGTCCAGTTTACCGGTATTCTCTCTCTCTCTCTCTCTCTCTCTCTCTTTTTCTTTCTTTTTTTTGCTCTTTTTCCTCTCTCTTTCTCTCACTCTCTTGCTTTTTTGTAGGTCCATCTCGCTCCCGGATTCATGCCTGACCTTTCACGGACCATCAATGGAAGGGAGACAGAGAATACTCCATTTGCCTTTGTACCATTTGCCGAGTTACTCGTGCGATCTTGCAACCGCATAAATTATTCATGTCGCGATTAATGCGGTTAAATATTTAGGTACTCCGTTATTCTTTCACTTTAGCACGTCGCACCTCCGTGGGTGCGAAGCACGGGGATTACCACGGACTGCCGCGCCTCGCGCAAACAAATTTCCGCGAGGAGTCGTCCCGACGCACAGCCGGCGACGTCCTTAATTGGTGCTAATTAGACGGTTATACGTTAAACGCGCGGGCGTCGCGAATTAACGCGTTTTCTCTCGCGCGTAAAGGGAGTACGCCGAATGTGACGTTGCTACATTTTCAATGAATACTATAATGCGATATAAAAAATTACTTTTAATTCTTCAAACACATTATTCTTTCAAATAAATTTAAATTGAAAGTACAAACATTATTCCTTGTTTTTTCAAATAATTATTTCTTCACTAAATGCATCGAATAGAATTTTTCCCTCGTACGATATAAATTTTTTCGATGATTAATATGAAACTTTACGTTCAATATTAATGCAAAATTGTTTGTCGCGTATGTTCTATTACAGCCGCCCGGTTCCTGAGATTGAGTATCATCCATCTGAGCACGTTGCTGTTAGTTAATAAAGAATGACCTGCTTCATATCGCGCGTACACATATCAATCCTTCGCTATTACAAATCATCGTATAGCCTCGATGTTCTGCAGGTATCCTGGAAGACGTGGATGATATACATAAGCGCAAACAGCTACGTGAACACGGGATAGATGGGCTGCACGCTGTGGCAGGGATATTCTCAGGAAATTCACCATTTTTAAGCTTATCCATGGTACTTATTTCTCGGGAGATACGGGAGGCCCAGGGCTTCACCCTGGCAGCAGGCGGAAGGATACAAAACGAGCGCCAGCTCGCCGGGCGTAAAGGATGAACGTGTTTTCCAGCCGTAGGAACGAGATACGTTCTCTCGGAAAATCGGTGACCGCTTTAGTACGGGGCAAACACGATTATCGATATTATCCCCTTTCGCTTTGCTACAATAGAATTTTACGGAACTCAATTAGAGTTACCAAATTTGCCATTATTTAATGTCTTTTATATCTTTGCCTTGTCAAATTGCTAAAGAAATATCATTTAAGCCTGTTTTTTTTTTATTTTTTTTTTTAACTCGAATGATGTATGAGATATTTACGAAATGCGCGAAATTTAAGGGAGAAATGCGTATAATAAAAGCAGACTTTTCCTCAGATACTATCTAATATAAGGATTTATAAACAGATGACTCATATCAAATAGATATTACCCATATACGTGTAGCAACAGGAAAATATCTTGTAACTCCTTTGTGTTTTACTACAATTCATCCATAAATTAGTCAAGGGTGAAGGAGTGCCACTTAACCAACGACAATAATTCTTCGCTGCGAGAGCTCGGTTGAACAGACGATATACGCCCCCCATGAAGGATGACAACGCAATTTTCTGACAAAGAAGATTTCGATGATTTGTTTCAGGATAATCTTTATCGGACATTCTAACGAAATATCTAATACTAATACGATACTAATACTAATACTAATACTAATACGAAATAACTAATAACGAAAAATCTACACATACACATATGCATATGTATACATATAATAACAAAAAGTTCCTATCATTTCTAATATAACAATAGCATAATTTTTTATATTATAAAATACATATTCCTACACACATAATTAATATATCTGTTGTTAACATAATTTATCTGTTAACATGATTTTATATGTATAATATGTGTACAAAACTTGTGTGTATAGATTTACTTGACAAAAAGAGAGAGAAAAAGAATGTAAAATTAAAATTATTATATAATTTCTGTATAATTATGAATGAGATATATTTATTTGTCCCATTCGCAATTTATCTTAGTATACGATAATATTTTGGTGTATAGCATATAAATCAACTTGACCTCAAAACCATTTTTATCTGGTCTCAACCCTTCATAATAGCCACACACACGTACTTCGCCAAAAAATAAAACTTTGTTCAGCAGTTTGTCTTTGCTTTTTTTATTCTCATTCTTCACACCCTGACCTCCCTGTCCGGATAACCTTTACGGTACTTTTCCGACTTGCTGTGCACGTGTTCGATACTGTGGTACTCTGACAAACTTATATGGAGCCAATTCATTTTCACGAATAAATTCGCTATGTCATACGTACCATTTTCCATTTCCATTTTTCCACAAGGAGAGGACTGTAATGACACTGTCCGTCTATAGCGCGAGAACGAGAACGAGAAACGAATTTTAAGACAAATAGAAATGCTTGCAGCTTTTGATTTAATAAAAGATAATTTTAATTAATTTGATTATTTTATATAATTAAAGATAATTTTATTCTAGAACTGTAAGTTCTGTTATTATTTCCGAAACTTCACGCGAATGTTATGTTTGTGTCGTTTAAATGCGACGAAGAGCTGATCGCCTTGAACTGTGCGGAGTATTAATGAAATTCGTATGTGCGAAACTGCGATCTTGGATACCCATGGGTCGTAAAAATCTGACGTAAAAATTAGGATTGCCCTAGGGCGTAGTGCAAAGGGGTTGGTAAGTTTATGTGAGTTTCGGAATCCCAGGGTTGTAAAAGGCTCACGGTTTCGAAAAGTAGATGTTAAATCCTACGGGAACGTATAGCGTGTTTGATAATAATTTAAGTTGGACGGCAAGGATTCGCGATTACTCTCCGAATTATTGATTTATCCAGATTCGAAATCACCGCTGTGTTGCCTAACAAATAATTGTAAAAATTAATTTGCAAATGCAAAATAAGAAAGAAACTTATATAATTAATTACATACACTATTCTCAAAAGTCTCAAAGCAAAATAAACTAAGTACGCGCTGCGTTATTAAAATTACGGAGAAGAATATATAAGGTCTACAACAACAGCAATTAGTATAATGAATAAGGAAATATCAAGAAAAAACGGTGTCTTTGCACGTTTGATACGTCTGTTTGCAGGCGACGCCTAGATTAAATTTCTCGCGCATTGACATTGTAACAAAAGTGGGTGTACCGTTGTACAACATAAAGCATTACTGGCGTGAGAGACTTCGCAAAAGAACATCCCGCAAAAGATATCTGAATATTCACATATCATTCTCTCTCCCTGCTATTGTAGCTTTTATTTGTACACTCTACATTTTTCCTTTATCCCGTTACGAGCAGTTCCGGGAAGAACACAGCACTAAATCATAGAACAGCGAAACTGATGAAACGCATTTCGAAATGTAGCCCTGGGGAAAAGCGAGATGACACTACCCTGTCCGAATCGACATCCCCGATGTAATGTAACTGGGCAACGAATTACTCGATATTTATATAAAAATATTCCATTCGCAAACATTATTACAATGTCAATTTCTTTTCGTTTCTTGTTACGCTGTACTCGCAATAGTTATTCATGATACACTTTATTTATAAATCTGCACATTCTTGTGGTAATACATCATTATATTTAATTATATAATCTATAATTACATTTAAGATAACTGCATTTTAAGTATGCTTAGAGCAAAAACAACACAACCTGATCGTATTTTATTATTAAAAAAAAATGTTACCAAGATAAATGTCGTGTAGAGTGAATCGCAGCAGCGTAAATGTATTTAAATGATTAAACCTAGTTAAAGTTAATATTGAGATTTGAACTAAAATTTCTATAAGTTAAATGAGAAAATTTTTTTTAATAAAAAAAAGGACATAAGAAAGTATTTATGTATGATAATTATTAAAAGTGTACGTAGAGAAGCTGTAAGATAATTTATAAGAATAATTACTTTTTAATAGCTAGTTAGTAATGTAAGCTTGGACAAATGCAAATGCGATAAAGAGCGAGTTTTTAATTCAGGATTCAATTAATCACTCGATCTCATTAACCCGTCGTTACTGTTTGCTTTGAAAGAAGAAACTTCAAGTTACGTCGCAATAAACCGCGAATCCAGCGATAAAATAAGGAATAAGACTAGATGGAAGGTTACTTCCATAAATCGCATGCGAGAGAGAGTCTTTCTTCGAATTAGTTCTAGTACAATTAGAATTACGTACGTAACACTAATACGCTAATCGATTAAACCTTCTGATCTCATTTAACTCGCTCCTAAACAATTTGATTTCTCATAGACATGGACGCGCGGACGAAGCAACTCGGTCGAGACAACGTGCCGCGCATGTAGGAACATTTCGCAGGTGCCCACGCGTCGCGAATATAATAAGAATTCCAAACATATCCGCGCGTCTTGCAACCGTCGGTTTTACGTTCTCTATCGATTCGCCGGAACAAACGCATTAACCGCGAACCGCGAACCGCCTAGTCTCAAAGGAGCAATGTGGCTACCGCACTCTACTAATGCAAAGCCCTCCACTGTCCCGGCCTCTCGCTCTCTCTCTCTCTCTCTCTCTCTCTCTCTCTCCCCATCTAACCCACGTACGCGCATTCTCCATTCCCTTCCCCTTTCCGGGCCCTTTCTCCCCGCCGCACGGTCCCTTGCACTTCATCGAGGGCTCGCGGCTCCTAAATTTCCTACCCTTTAGTAATAATATATCTGTCCCTTGGGCGTCGCTGAGGAGTCCACCTCATCCTATCCAAGACCCCACGTGCGACTATTATCTTATATATAACCAAGCTCGAACCTCCCGAGTTTCCTACCGAACAATCCACGAGGCGTCCGACCCTGTGGCGTATCTTTGGACACTGCGAATGTATCTTTAAGACTCCCGGAAACGAGCTCGTGCTGGCGCGCTTTTATGCCCGCGTCGTGCCGACTATATATGATGGTTCCCTTTGAAGGATTAACCGAACGATGCGTAAAAAGATACGGGGCACGTCACGAGAATAAAGAAACGGTAAAAAAGAGATAGACGATTAATGAAAACTACAAGAAATAAGTTAACGATGAAGAAGCGAGGACGAGTCTTTTAATTGATCGAAAGTCTCTCGTTAGGACATTAAGAGTATCCGGCATTCGATTCTGCACAGGATATTCTAGCTTTATTGTATCTATTTTATCTTTTATTGAATAAAGCCTGATACTTTTCAAGTTATTAACTCTGCTAACTATCTTAAATTAATATCAAATTTTCGTCAAACGCTGTGCTGACGGCAAAAGTAAAAACTGTTTTATAAAAATGTTTATAAAGAGAAACAACTTTTGAAAATGATTCACTCGCGTTAAGATTGATCGAAACAAGCTAGAACAAATTTTATCGCTATTAATTATCTAATAATATAATCAATATTATATCAATGGCTCTCATATCAACAAATTTAAAATATTTAACGCTGGATTTTTTCAGTAGCTATTTTATACACACACACGCACATATATATATATATATATATATATATATATACATATATATATATGTATATAATTAAATTACAAATAATATGTTAAATATTTTAAATTTAATTAGTTTAAACATTTATATAAAAAGAGCAAAATACTACTCGATCTTTATGAAAATCTAAAAAAATGTCAACAATCTGAAATTATCATTAATATACGCCATATAAATTTTAAAGACTAATATATATAAAACTATAAACTATAAATTTTAATACTATAATTTCTTAAAGATTCATTAATTGCAATAAAATATTTGTAGGAATATTCGAACTTTATTTTTTTTTAAACAATTCTTTTTACTATAACAAAACATAAACATTGAAGAGATTTTTATTTCGCAATCTTGATAAATACGCGTATTTTCTTGTACCCGGAAAATAGCATTCTATTATGAAAATAGCATTGTTGTACCAATTTAATATTCTGTCCGCAAATGTACGAAAGAAACTGTTACGCGCGCGTTTAAAAATAGCGTATTTTCTCAGAAATTACCGCTGGCCATTTGCATGTTAAATATGTTGACAAAAGAAATAACTATGACAATTCATGACGCTGAGTAAGAACATCCGCGAGACCCTTATGTTTTGTTACAGTGTGAGAGAGTCTCCCGGGAGAACCGGAGTTAAAAGATATTTTTGAATTCATCTCTGACAATGCCAAGTCAAGAGCATAAAAACTAAGTGAGAAGTGTAACGACTATGTGAAATATGCGATAGAGAGAAACTCTTATTCACGTTCTAAAAACCTATAATGTGGCAGATTGTACTAAAGTTTTAGACATCTGATGTGCCTTCTTTTTCTTGTCAATCATCTTTTCTTTAAGAGTTATTGCAGTTAGTATTAATATCGTTATATAATGGATTTTTCTGAAAGATAAAAATTTAAGAAGAGACAAGAGAAAAAATGGATTTATCAAATAGACAATCCTATAACGATACATTATTCTGGTTCGATTCAATAATGTTGCCAATTTAAATTAATGTTAGTTTAAAGAATTGTGATTGTGAGAGAGAAGCATTTGGATTTCTTTGACCGCATGCAAGTACATGGTTTTAAAGCAAGAGTTCCATTATATTCTTGCTCCTTATTCTAATAACTTTTAATTATGTACATAAAAAACTTCAGCGCCGGCCAATTTTCGTTAAGCGAAGGAACTCGCTAACATATATTTCTAGAAAAAGCTAAGCACCTTCGCTGAACTCCAAGTATATTCATACTTTTTTGAGCTACTGCAGCGTTTTTCTTCGAAAGACAAAGTCTTCGTTGCTAATATTACCACAATCTTTTGCAGTAATATTAGCAGCGAAGACTTTGTTTAATGCATTCGTGGTTTTATCTTTCATAAATTAAATTAAAATACCTCCGAGTTGACATCTCGTTTCTTTTTTTTTTTTTTTTTGTAAAAGGCCGAAGTTTTCCGTGAACATTTCCGCTTGTTATCGCAAAATTAAATAACTCTCTGCGCCACTGTTACGATAAAACATGAAACCAAGAAAAGCGCTTCTACGCGTTTTTATCACGGTAAAACTCAGTGAATACCGCGTAAATAGTCGTTGCTTGCTTTAGAACAAATTTTTCAAAACAATTTTTGTACGTTGAATGCTACAATTTACAGATTGTGCACGGGATTGAATGTTAATTAAAACAAATAGAAATATCATTATCATTATCCGGATTATATAATAATTATGTGATTAATTGTATGATTAACATGATTATTATAAAAATAATAAAATAAAACTCAACACGCAAATCAATAATTTTTAATTGTTTAAAAAAATGTGTATTTAGTAGCTTACGGTACTTGTCGCAATTGCGTCTTGAGAAGTTAATACGGCAGTACACGGAGCGGCTCGTGCCACTACCTGCTCGTTCGATTGTTCACCCGAGCACGGATGTCACGATCTTGTATACATACAGATATAACGGCACGCTTACACTAGAAAACAAGAATCAAACATGCGCCAGCCAAGCGCCGAAATATTCGATATAATTTTACATTTTGACATGAATATTCTTCAACCATATGTTACGTAAAAAAAAACAAGTTCCACGTATGCCAATC